AGAACGACTTTTAATGTATATGTTTAATAGTTGCATATTTCTGAACATTTTTACAGAAACTCGTGAAAATGTCGATATCGCAAAATTTTGACTGTCCATAGAAAAAATAGAACCAATGAGTTTATAGCAGAATGGATGATGCAGAATCGCATGCGCCATTGTCAGAACGACATTGAATACAGTTATTTACTAATTGCACATGTCTGAATATTTTTAAAGAAATTCGTGAAATTGTCGATATACCAAAATTTTTACTGTACATAGAAAAAATAGAACCAATGAGGTTATAGCTGAATGAATGATGCAGAATGGCATACGCCATTGTCAGAACGACATTTAATGCATTTGTTTGCTAATTGCTCACGTCTGAACATTTTTACAGATATTCGTGAAAATGTCAATATCTCAAAATTTTGACTGTCCATAGAAAAAATAGAACCATTGTGTTTATAGCAGAACGAATGATGCAGAATCACATACGCCATTGTCAGAACGACTTTTAATGTATTTGTTTGCTTGTTGCATATTTCTGAACATTTTTACAGAAATTCGTGAAAATGTCGATATCCCAAAATTTTGACTGTCCACAGAAAAAATAGAACCATTGATTTTATAGCAGAATGGATGATGCAGAATCGCATACGCCATTGTCAGAACGACTGTTAATGCATTTATTTGCAAATTACACACGTCTGAACCTTTATAAAATGTCCATAATCCAAAATTTTGACTTTCCATAGAAAAAATTGAACCATTGAGTTTATAGCAGAATGAATGATGCAGAAATGCATACGCCATTGATAGAACGACATTGAATACAGTTATTTGCTAATTGCACACGCCTGAACATTTTTACAGAAGTTTGAGAAAATGTCGATATCCCAAAATTTTGACTGTCCATACAAAAAATAGAACCATTGAGTTTATAGCAGAATGAATGATGCAGAATTGCATACGCCATTGTCAGAACGACATTTGATGTATTTGTTTGCTGATTGCACACGTCTGAACATTTTTACAGAAGTTTGTGAAAATGTCAATATCTCCAAATTTTGACTGTCCATAGAAAAACTAGAACCAATAAGTTTATAGCAGAATGAATGACGCAGAATCGCATATGCCATTGTCAGAACAACATTTAGTACAGTTATTCCTAATTGCACACGTCTGAACATTTGTACAGAAATTCCTGAAAATTTCAATATCTCAAAATTTTGACTATCCATAGAAAAAATAGAACCAATGAGTTTGTAGCAGAATGAATGATGCAGAATCGCATGCGCCATTGTCAGAACGACTGTTAATACATTTATTTGCGAATTGCACACGTCTGAACATTTTTACAGAAATTCGTGTAAATGTCGATATCCCAAAATTTTGACTGTCCATGGAAAAATAGAACCATTGAGTTTATAGCAGAACGAATGATGCAGAATCACATACGCCATTGTCAGAACAACTCTTAAGGTATTTGTTTGCTAGTTGCATGTTTCTGAACATTTTTACAGAAATTCGTGAAAATGTCGATATCCCAAAATTTTGACTGTGCATAGAAAAAAAAAAGAACCAATGAGTTTATAGCAGAATGGATGATGTAGTAGCGCATGCGCCACCTTCAGAACGACTTTTAAAGTATTTATATGCTAATTGCATACTTCTGAACATATTTACAGAAATTTTGTCTGTCCATAGAAAAAATAGAACAAACGAGTTTATAGCAGAATGGATGATGCAGAATCGCATACGCCATATTCAGAACGACTCTTAAGGTATTTGTTTGCTAGTTGCACTCGTCTGAACATTCTTACTGAAATTCCTGAAAATGTCAATATCCCAAAATATTGACTGTCCATAGAAAAAATAGAACCAATGAGTTTATAGCAGAATGGATGATGCAGAATCGCATACGCCATTGTCAGAACGACATTTAATGCATTTGTTTGCTGATTGCACACGGCTGAACATTTTTACAGAAGTTTGTGAAAATGTCAATATATCCAAATTTTGACTGTCCATAGAAAAAATAGAACCAATGAGTTTATAGCAGAATGCATGATAATAATCTCATATGCCATTGTCAGAACGACTTTTAATGTATTTATTTGCTAGTTGCATATTTCTGAACATTTTTACAGAAATTCGTGAAATTGTCGATATCCCAAAATTTTTACTGTCCATAGAAAAAATAGAACCAATGAGTTTATAGCAGAATGGATGATGCAGAATCGCATACGCCATTGTCAGAACAACTGTTAATGCATTTATTTGCTAATTGCACACGTCTGAACATTTGTACAGCAATTCCTGAAAATTTCGATATCTCAAAATTTTGACTGTCCATAGAAAAAATAGAACCAATGAGTTTATAGCAGAATGAATGATGCAGAATCGCATACGCAATTGTCAGAGCGACTGTTAATGCATTTATTTGCGAACTGCACACGTCTGAACATTTTTACAGAAATTCGTGAAAATGTCGATACCCCAAAATTTTGACTGTGCATAGCAAAAATAGAACCAATGAGTTTATAACAGAACGAATGATGCAGAATCACATACTCTATTGTCAGAACGACTTATAGTTTATTTATATGCTAACTGTACACGTCTGAACACTTTTACAGAAATTCGTAAAAAGGTCGTTATCCCAAAATTTTGACTGTTCATAAAAAATAGAACCAATGAGGTTATAGCAGAATGAATGATGCAGAATTGTATATGTCATTTAATGCAATTGTTTGCTAATTGCTCACGTCTAAATATTTTTACAGAAATTCCTGAAAATTTCAATATCTCAAAATTTTGACTGTCCATAGAAAAAATTGAACCATTGAGTTTACTGCAGAACGAATGATGCAGAATCACATACGCCATTGTCAGAACGACTTATAGTTTATTTATATGCTAACTGTACACGTCTGAACACTTTTACAGAAATTCGTAAAAAGGTCGTTATCCCAATATTTTGACTGTTCATAAAAAATAGAACCAATGAGGTTATAGCAGAATGAATGATGCAGAATTGTATACGTCATTTAATGCAATTGTTTGCTAATTGCTCACGTCTAAATATTTTTACAGAAATTGCTGAAAATTTCAATATCTCAAAATTTTGACTGTCCATAGAAAAAATTGAACCATTGAGTTTACTGCAGAACGAATGATGCAGAATCACATACGCCATTGTCAGAACGACTTTTAATGTATATGTTTAATAGTTGCATATTTCTGAACATCTTTACAGAAACTCGTGAAAATGTCGACATCGCAAAATTTTGACTGTCCATAGAAAAAATAGAACCAATGAGTTTATAGCAGAATGGATGATGCAGAATCGCATACGCCATTGTCAGAACGACTGTTAATGCATTTATTTGCTAATTGCACACGTCTGAACATTTTTACAGAAATTTGTGATAATGTCGATATCCCAAAAATTTGACTGTTCATAAAAAAATAGAACCAATGAGGTTATAGCTGAATGAATGATACAGAATCGCATACGCCATTGTCAGAACGACATTGAATACAGTTATTTGCTAATTGCACATGTCTGAACATTTTTACAGAAATTCGTTAAATTGTCGATATCCCAAATTTTTACTGTCCATAGAAAAAATAGAACCAATGAGTTTATAGCAGAATGGATGATGCAGAATCGCATACGCCATTGTCAGAACGGCTGTTAATGCATTTATTTGCTAATTGCACACGTCTGAACATTTTTACAGAAATTTGTGATAATGTCGATATCCCAAAAATTTGACTGTTCATAAAAAAATAGAACCAATGAGGTTATAGCTGAATGAATGATGCAGAATTGCATACGCCATTGTCAGAACGACATTTAATGCATTTGTTTGCTAATTGCTCACGTCTGAACATTTTTACAGAAATTCGTGAAAATGTCAATATCTCAAAATTTTGACTGTCCATAGAAAAAATAGAACCATTGAGTTTATAGCAGAACGAATGATGCAGAATCACATACGCCATTGTCAGAACGACTTTTAATGTATTTGTTTGCTAGTTGCATATTTCTGAACATTTTTACAGTAATTCGTGAAAATGTCGATATCCCAAAATTTTGATTGTCCACAGAAAATATAGAACCATTGAGTTTATAGCAGAATGGATGATGCAGAATCGCATAAGCCATTGTCAGAACGACTGTTAATGCATTTATTTCCAAATTACACACGTCTGAACATTTTTACAGAAATTTGTGAAAATGTCGATATCCCAAAATTTTGACTGTCCATACAAAAAATAGAACCATTGAGTTTATAGCAGAATGAATGATGCAGAATTGCATACGCCATTGTCAGAACGACATTTAATGCATTTGTTTGCTGATTGCACACGTCTGAACATTTTTACAGAAGTTTGTGAAAATGTCAAAATCTTCAAAAAAAATAGAACCAATGAGTTTATAGCAGAACGAATGATGCAGAATCACATACGCCATTGTCAGAACGACTTTTAATGTATTTGTTTGCTAGTTGCATATTTCTGAACATTTTTACAGTAATTCGTGAAAATGTCGATATCCCAAAATTTCGACTGTATATAGAAAAAATAGAACCAATGAGTTTATAGCAGAATGGATGATGCAGAATCGCATACGCCATTGTCAGAACGACTGTTAATGCATTTATTTGCTAATTGCACAGTCTGAACATTTTTACAGAAATTAGTGAAAATGTCGATATCCCAAAATTTTGACTGTTCATAAAAAAATAGAACCAATGAGGTTATAGCTGAATGAATGATGCAGAATTGCATACGCCATTGTCAGAACGACTTTTAATGTATTTGTTTGCTAGTTGCATATTTCTGAACATTTTTACAGAAATTCGTGTAAATGTCGATATCGCAAAATTTTGACTGTCCATAGAAAAAATAGAACCAATGAGTTTATAGCAGAATGGATGATACAGAATCACATACGCCACTGTCAGAACGACTTTTAATGTATTTGTTTGCTAGTTGCTGTGACGACATGTTTTCACTTTGAAGCTGGGATAGTTCAACGGAGGGCCAGGGTCGTCACAAGAATTTATTTATGTTGTGGGACATATAAGAGAGGAAGACTGTTTATTTTTTTATCAACGTTATAAAATTTATTGATTTCACTAAATTATTCATTTCACACATTTGTAGTTTTGATAACACACAACACACTGTAGCAGCACGGCGAGGACGACACCCGAATATTTGCGGTAGCGGCAGTCCGATGACGGCAAACGAAGATCGTCGATAACTAGGCAAGGCAGCAGCCCGATGACGACGCACGCAGAATGACGGCAGCAAAGCACAGCGGCAGCCCGATGACAGCACTCGAAGGTTGGCAGCAGCTAGGCACAGCGGTAGCCCGATGACAGCACACGAAGAATAACGGCAGCCCGATGGCCGCACACGAAGGTTGGCAGCAGCTAGGCACAGCGGCAGCCCGATGACAGCACTCGAAGGTTGGCAGCAGTTAGGCACAGCGGTAGCCCGATGACAGCACACGAAGAATAACGGCAGCCCGATGGCAGCACACGAAGGTTGGCAGCAGCTAGGCACAGCGGCAGCCCGATGACAGCACGAGTCGAGGGAGCGTTTAAAACCCCACTCAACCCTACCGACTGCTCTCACTGCGGTCTGAGAGAGGAGGGAACGTTAAAACCCCGCTCCACTCAACAGCCGAGACACTCACACAAACCTTAGAGCCGAGGGAACGTTAAAACCCCACTCAACTCTAAAGCCCACACGAACATATGTCTGGAGAGGGAGGGAACGTTAAAACCCCACTCCACTCAACAGCCGAGACACACACACACAAAAACCTTAGCGCCAAGGGAACGTAAAAACCCCACTTAACTCTCTAGACGACACAAACTAACTAAATTTACTGCCAAGGGAACGTTAAAAACCCCACTTAGCACAACAGCCATCCACAGAAGACTGTCCCGATTGTGTCGATTTCGCCTCCTTTTATACTGTTTCAGTGGCTCGATGTCGACTGATTATATTTTGACGCCGTACGGATCTCATCGTCGTTGTTCAGGGTTAGTCTATTATATGACCACTAGGGGGATCAGTTTGACCGTTAATTTCAAAAACAAAACCGAATACCATAAATTTCATATATTTTCTTTAAATAACTAGTAATTCAATTATTGTGTCACATAACATAAAACATGATTCCAAATAAAATATTAATACATTTATAATTCAAATATTTTATTTAATTTTGTGGCCCAAAAACGAGTTTCCGACTTTTGGCCCGTCACAAGGCCTTCCATCTCTCCCCTGATTTGTTTTCCATCTTATGTGGCTTCGTCTAGCCTGTTGCATATCAACAGCCGGAAGCCCAGCGAATTGTTCAATTTAATATTCTCGCCTCCTCAATTTCTACGTCCTTTCACCTAGCGTGAATTCGGGTGAATTTTGGAGGCCTCCGTAGAGATTTTTGTGGAAGACCATCACTGCACCATTGGCCGTGACGGTAATTCGGTATTGTTGATCCCGTAGTCGGATTAATTTTCTCGCCCGTTTGCCCCTTTTGGACCTACTCAGGAATTTGACAATAATGTCCCGCAAGTCACTAGGATAGTTATCCGGGGGAACTTGGCTCCAAGTGTCATGACTGTTGCTAATTTGTTCCTTCCCTTCGGTGATGGAAGTTGTGCCTTGGCTTGGACGTTCTTTACCCTCTTCCGCATTCGGGACGAATATTTCTTCTAGGTAGTTTGAGTGGTGGCTAGTTGGTGCTACGTTGGCGCATAAGGGGACTTTTGATATTTTTGTGGGGGATGATGGTTCTCTCGGGTTGGTAAATGTGTTACTGGAAATTATGAATGGTAGTTGGCATGGTATATATGATGAAGTTGATGATGATGATGATTTTGAGGGTGACGAAGATGAACTCGCCAATGAGTATGACGTTTGCGAAAAACCTTGTCCCACTATTCCATCACCCTTCGTGTTTGTAAATGGCGTTCTCGGATTCTCGGCTACCGGCCTTTCAGTTACATTCACATTCCGTTCTGTCGCCATTTCTGGTTCAATCGAAATTCGAATAGGTGATGGAGTCTTTACTCCAACTAATGCGTGCCACTGCGTCCACCATTCCAGGTTTGGGGTTTCGGAAACGGTTACGAAACTGTTTACTGACGATCTTGAAGCTTCCTCGTCAGTGTCGCTTGTTACTTGGGTGGCAGCTATGGTTTCTGAACTGTCAATTATGGGCTCCAAATCGGGCATTTGATCATATATACTTGGTTCTGCGGATAAGGCCTTACTAATTTCTTCTCCGTTGATGGCTAGTATCGGTGTTTTATCCTGATCCGGAACCAGCAATTCTACAGTGACAGTTCGTTCGTAGCATCTGAACCCCAAATAGCGATACTCACGATCTTTCTGCTCGATGAAACCCAAACCTTTCCTAGGCTTTGGACTTGGGCATTTGTAGTTTTCTTCATCGGACTCGGTGGATGATGGACTAGGAGGTGCTATCGGCGACTTCTTCTCAATATTCTTATCCTCATACCCATAGAAGTTACGCCACTCATCTTCATCTATGTCTGAAACAGATGATTCGCCGCTCGTCTCCATCGGTGGTCGTGGAAGCGTGGATTGTTCGTCGAAGTAATTGGCAAAATTCTTTCCCGGCGTGATCGGCAACTCGGAATATATGGAAGTAGTGGGTGTGTTTATATCGGACATATCGGTACTATCTTGAGTTGACTCACTGCATGATATGTATATTGGTGTTCGTGGTACCTCAGGATGTACGGTGGCATCATTCGGACGTGGTGAACCTTGCCTTTCTGTGCGCTTTTCATTATTTTTGCCATGTGTATCTGGGAATGTCGGGCGTACGTCTGCGATATTATTGGCTGTTTCTTCCATTCTAAAGAATATATGATCTTCGCCTCTTAGGGATGGAGGGCGATCCCGTTGTTTTGTACATCGTCTCGGTGCATTGCGGCTGGTACTCGGAATATCATCGTCATCAATAAAAATGGTTCGACGTCGCTGTGACTCTGCCCTCTCAAAGTGGGTACGGACTTTTTTCATCGCTTCCTTAAATTTTTTTGTCTTTGGACTATTTCCGTCCATAATCGCAGTGTGTTGTGAGATGTAGATAACAATTTCAGAACTTATCTTAAACACGTATTTGTTATTATATTTATATATTTTCTTTCTTAAATTACTTTTTGGCTAATACCGTCGTTGTCTAAAAGAAAAAAAAGAAAACAAAACAATGAAACACACAAACGGTGTAAATGATAGAGGAATATTAAGTTATAGATCTTCTACATAAAGCCTCTCCGAAATAATGTTTTAATTTATTCGAAATACTTCTTAAGACCACTGACATGCACTGTACGCATGTCCTTTTCGTTCGCCCTGACCACCACAATTACTGGTGATTTATATTTTTCCACCACATATGGGCCCCCATATTTCGGGGCCAGTTTCGCCGCAAAGTTATCGATGGCTCTTGATTGGGGGTGCAATCTAATAAGAACCTTTTCCCCAATTTTTGGTTTCCATGCCCGATGTCGGAGATTGTAGTGTCGTTTCTGATTTTGTGCTGCTTTGGCTAGATTTCGTCGGACTATTATAAATATTTCCCTTAATTCCAGTGCTCGGTCTTCAGGTAAAACTATTCTGGCACCTGTTCCAGTTGTAACTTGGTCGTATAAGGCCTGTGGTAGCCTAGGTTCACGGCCTTGTGTTAGAAATGCCGGGGAATATCCTGTGGATTCGGAGGCACTAGTATTAATAGCCAACATAATTTCAGGCAACGCGTCGTCCCATTTATTATGATGTTGCCGGGATACTTGCGCAATCATAGTCTTAACAGTGCTGTTAGTTCTTTCAGTAGGGTTCTCTTGGGGAGTATATGGCGCTGTTAGCTGGTGTTTTATGCCCATTTCCTTCAAGAATTTCTCCCACTTTGCACTGGTAAACTGGGCGCCATTATCCGTAATAATCATCTTTGGTACGCCATACCGGGAAACTATCCTCTCTCGACAACCTTTGATTAGACCATCCGTTGTGGCTTTTCTAAGGGGTATTAGTTCTGTCCATTTCGAGAAACGATCCATAATTACCAACAGCATCGAGTTTCCGTGAGTCGACCGCGGAAGAGGTCCCACGAAATCCGCACATATTGTGGCCCATGGTTCCTCGGAGACTCGAGTTAACATTTCGCCAGCCGATTGTTGTTGGCTTGATTTATATTTTTGGCACAATGCACATTTTTTACATATCGTTTTATATCCTGGAACATACCCGGCCAGAAGTATCGGTTAGCCACTTTGTAACTAGTTTTCCGCATGCCCAGGTGACCACCGGCGAGACTATCGTGATTTTCCTCTAGTACCCTCTCCCTGGATGTGATTGGTACACACAATTTCCACGGAGTGCAGTCGTCGTCGTTTGCTTGCCGAGGAAAATGCCGATATACGTGGTCATCAATAAGGGTATAATCCGGATATTTTTTTGGATTCTTTACGATACCTTCCTTCAATTTGTCTATCCAAGGACATCCATTCTGACTTTCCTTGATGGTGGCTAATTCCAAAATCTCCACTGGTTGCCTCGAGAGTGTGTCTGCTACAACATTTTGTTTTCCTCTACGGTATTTCACAACGAAGGAATATTGTTGGAGCTCGAGGGCCCATCGTGCCAATCTTCCTGAAGGACTCTCTATTGAGTTCAACCATTTAAGCGCGAGGTGATCCGTAATTACAATAAATTGGTAGCCCTCCAATAATGGGCGCATTTGCCTTATGCCCCAAATTATAGCGAGGCACTCTTTTTCTGTAGCCGAATAGTTCTTATCAGCCCCGTTTAAGTGTCTGCTGGCATACGCTATCACCCGCTCCTCTCCCTCTAATTCTTGAGTGAGGACTGCTCCTAATCCATAATTACTGGTATCTGTCTGGAGGGTAAATGGTTGGGTGAAATCTGGACATGCCAATACGGGGGCCTCGGTTAATTTCGCCTTAAGTGTTTCGAATGCCATTTGTTGTTCCTGTCCCCATTTCCAATGCTTACCCTTCTTTAATAGGCTGGTTAGTGGCTGTGAGATGGTTGCAAATTGTGGAACAAATCTTCTATACCACGATGCAACTCCGAGGAAGCGCCGTACTTCCTTTACTGACGTCGGGGATTTTATCCTTTGATGGCCGCCACCTTGTCCGGATCAGTTTTGATACCATCCCCGCTAACTACGTGGCCCAAATACTTTGTCTCCTTCTTGAAAAACTCGCATTTGTCCATGTTAATTTTAAGGTTAGCGGCCCGGAGTCGGACAAATACATTCCTCAAATTTGTAAGATGCTCCTCGAATGTTCTTCCTATGACTATAATGTCATCCAAATACGCAAAAGCATTTGGTTCCATTTCCGGCCCGATGACACTATCTAGGGCTCGCTGGAAAGTTGCTGGTGCCGAGTGCAATCCAAACGGCATAACCTTCCATTGGTAGAGTCCTTTCCCGGCGACTACAAACGCAGTATACTTTCGACTGTCCGCAGCCAAGGGAATCTGCCAATAACCGTTTTTCAGATCTAAGCTACTTACAAATTTTGCATCTCTTAGCCGATTTAATATCGTGTCTATACGTGGCAATGGGTAGGCATCCGGTACAGACCTTTTATTTAATTGTCGAAAATCCATACACGTTCGCCAGTCTCCATTTTTCTTTTTTACTAAAGTTATAGGGAAACTGTATGGACTTTTTGAGGGTTCAACACATCCTTGATCAATTAGCTTATTCACCTCTGCGTCTATGATTGCTTGCATGGCTGGGTTTCGGGGAGCATACCTTAATTTTATGGGGCGATCATCCGTCATGACAATTTTATGTTCAGTTATATTGGAGAGCCCTTTTATCTGTTCGAAAAGTGGTATTTCTTCTGAAAAGAATTTTTGCATGACTCTTTGCTGCTCGTCACTTAATTGATTATTGCTTATTCTATTTTGGGGTAATATTTCCGCGGGTCGACCACATATAACTGCTTTTCTTACCTCTTTCTGGGTAGGGTTAGCCTCGCTGACCATGATACACTGTTCCGTTTGCCGTTCCGGTTCGTAGAGTGTCACGCTGAGTCCGGCACAATAAATCGTAGTGGGGAATCGCTTGAAAAATTCCAGACCAATGATGATATCTTCTTTGAATTTGGACATTATTAGGAATGGCATTTCTGTACTTTGACTTCCAAAAATTACGTGGAGCGTAATTGACTTGGTAATATTAACAGCGGTCCCATCTGCAAGAATAACATTTGTTTGGTGTCGATTATACACTGGATTTTGCTTCAATTTTTCGGCTAACTCCTTTTTTATAAAACAACTTGTGGCCCCCGTGTCCACTGTAGCGGTTACTAGTCGTCCTTCAATGACCATTGTGGCGGTTAGTCGGTTCGCCTCGCATTTAAATGAAGTTTTGTAATTTCTTTTTGGGACCGGCTCTTCCGTAGCCCAATAATTTCTTTCTATTCGGTGAGAGTTAGGTTTTGAATAATCTGTATTTCGATTGAAGTTCTGGTAATGGCGTGGTGGTTCATGTCGGACGGTATTTGGAATACTTTCCATGTCATCTGCTAGCTTAATCAATTCCGACAAGGAGTTAAAGTCTTTGCGTCTTATGTACCACTGGTATTCTGCTAGGGAATTTCTAAAAATACGTTCCAGCTTTTGTTCTTCCGTCATTTCCGCGTGTTGCATTAGCTTCTGGATGGCCAAGACGTACTCCTTGAAAAATTCCTTGGGTCTTTGTAGTCTTTTTCTGATTTCGTCATCTAGTTTTTCAAAATATCTTGGAGGTAAAAAGAAATTTAGGAAATCTCTCTTGAATTCTTTCCAGCTTATCCAGTGTCCGTTATTGTTCCTCAGCCATATGAGAGCCTTATCCTGAAAGAGTTCCGGCATAGTTTTTATAAGATGGTTTAATTCTACTCCGAAAATTAGCGCTAGTTCTTCTATGCGTTCTATAAACTCTATAGGATCCCTGCCCTGGTTAAATTTGATGTTCCACTTATGTACTTGATCAAGCAGGTTGACTGGACGCTGAATCGGACTATGCTCCGTTCCAGGAAGGTTAGCTAACGGAGGAACGTTCTCGGTTTTCAGCGTTGATTCTTGGCTTTGCCGGTCTTCACTGGTCACTTTAGTTGGATCCATGGTTTGATAAACGGGGTAGGTTGATTTCTCAGTATCACTTGGGGAAATAGTAATCATCGGCAGTTTTGACGGAGAGTGGAAAGTTGATGTGGATGGAATGTTCCCGTTTTCATGTTTATTTTGCAATTCATGCAATCTTTTCCTTGTTGCTTCGTCGTGATCTTGATTTAAGAACTTCGCCCATCGCTTACGAAGATCGTCCACATTCCCAGTAGAATCTAATTTAAATTCCAAAAGATACCCCACTAGATCTTCTTGTTTCAAGGTGTATGCCCAGGATACTCGTAACATCTTTACTATTTTGTAATTCGGTTTTCCTTTGTTTTTTTTTTTCACGAATTTATTTATTTTTACACCACGGAATGTTTATCACTGTCTCTAAAGTCTTGCTTCTTCTAGGTGTCAATATTTTATTTTTTTTTTTTTCATTTAACACGTCTATAGATATTGTTGTTTTTTCTCTCTCTTAATGTACCTGCTCGGGCGCCATTGTGACGACATGTTTTCACTTTGAAGCTGGGATAGTTCAACGGAGGGCCAGGGTCGTCACAAGAATTTATTTATGTTGTGGGACATATAAGAGAGGAAGACTGTTTATTTTTTTATCAACGTTATAAAATTTATTGATTTCACTAAATTATTCATTTCACACATTTGTAGTTTTGATAACACACAACACACTGTAGCAGCACGGCGAGGACGACACCCGAATATTTGCGGTAGCGGCAGTCCGATGACGGCAAACGAAGATCGTCGATAGCTAGGCAAGGCAGCAGCCCGATGACGACGCACGCAGAATGACGGCAGCAAAGCACAGCGGCAGCCCGATGACAGCACTCGAAGGTTGGCAGCAGCTAGGCACAGCGGTAGCCCGATGACAGCACTCGAAGGTTGGCAGCAGCTAGGCACAGCGGTAGCCCGATGACAGCACACGAAGAATAACGGCAGCCCGATGGCAGCACACGAAGGTTGGCAGCAGCTAGGCACAGCGGCAGCCCGATGACAGCACGAGTCGAGGGAACGTTTAAAACCCCACTCAACCCTACCGACTGCTCTCACTGCGGTCTGAGAGAGGAGGGAACGTTAAAACCCCGCTCCACTCAACAGCCGAGACACTCACACAAACCTTAGAGCCGAGGGAACGTTAAAACCCCACTCAACTCTAAAGCCCACACCAACATATGTCTGGAGAGGGAGGGAACATTAAAACCTCACTCCACTCAACAGCCGAGACACACACACAAAAACCTTAGCGCCAAGGGAACGTTAAAAACCCCACTTAACTCTCTAGACTACACAAACTAACTAAATTTACTGCCAAGGGAACGTTAAAAACCCCACTTAGCACAACAGCCATCCACAGAAGACTGTCCCGATTGTGTCGATTTCGCCTCCTTTTATACTGTTTCAGTGGCTCGATGTCGACTGATTATATTTTGACGCCGTACGGATCTCATCGTCGTTGTTCAGGGTTAGTCTATCATATGACCACTAGGGGGATCAGTTTGACCGTTAATTTCAAAAACAAAACCGAATACCATAAATTTCATATATTTTCTTTAAATAACTAGTAATTCAATTATTGTGTCACATAACATAAAACATGATTCCAAATAAAATATTAATACATTTATAATTCAAATATTTTATTTAATTTTGTGGCCCAAAAACGAGGTTCCGACTTTTGGCCCGTCACATTGAATATTTCTGAACATTTTTACAGAATAAAATGTCGATATCGCAAAGTTTTGACTGTCCATAGAAAAGATAGAACCAATGAGTTTATAGCAGAATTAATGATGCAGAATCGCATACGCCATTGTAGGAGCGACATTTAAACCATTTATTTGAAAATTTCGATATCCCAAAATTTTGAATGTTCATAGCACAAACAGAACCAATGAGTTAATAGCAGAATAAATGATGAAGAATCGCTTACGCCAGTATGCAGTTACTTGCTAATTGCACTCGTCTAAACATTCTTACAAAATTCGTGAATTGTCGATATCCCAAAATTTTGACTGTCCATAGAAAAAATAAAACCATTGAGTTTATAGCAAAACGAATGATGCAGAATCACATACGCCATTGTCAGAACGACTTTTAATGTATTTATTTGCTAGTTGCATATTTCTGAGCATTTTTACAGAAATTCCTAAAAATGTCGATATCCCAAAATTTTGACTGTCCATAGAAAAAATAGAACCAATAAGTTTATAGCAGAATGAATGATGCAGAATCGCATACGCCATAGTCAGAACGACATTTAGTACAGTTATTTCCTAATTGCACACGTCTGAACATTTGTACAGCAATTCCTGAAAATTTCAATATCTCAAAATTTTGACTGTCCATAGAAAAAATAGAACCAATGAGTTTATAGCAGAATGAATGATGCAGAATCGCATACGCAATTGTCAGAACGACTGTTAACGCATTTATTTGCGAACTGCACACGTCTGAACATTTTTACAGAAATTCGTGAAAATGTCGATACCCCAAAATTTTGACTGTGCATAGAAAAAATAGGACCAATGAGTTTATAACAGAACGAATGATGCAGAATCACATACTCCATTGTCAGAACGACTGTTAATGCATTTATTTGCGAACTGCACACGTCTGAACATTTTTACAGAAATTCCTGAAAATTGCAATATCCCAAAATGTTGACTGTTCATAAAAAAATAGAACCAATGAGGTTATAGCGGAATGAATGATGCAGAATTGTATACGTCATTTAATGCAATTGTTTGCTAATTGCTCACGTCTAAATATTTTTACAGAAATTCCTGAAAATTTCAATATCTCAAAATTTTGACTGTCCATAGAAAAAAGTTTTACTGCAGAACGAATGATGCAGAATCACATACGCCATTGTCAGAAAGACTTTTAATGTATATGTTTAATAGTTGCATATTTCTGAACATTTTTACAGAAACTCGTGAAAATGTCGATATCGCAAAATTTTGACTGTCCATAGAAAAAATAGAACCAATGAATTTATAGCAGAATGGATGATGCAGAATCGCATACGCCATTGTCAGAACGACATTGAATACAGTTATTTGCTAATTGCACATGTCTGAACATTTTTACAGAAATTCGTGAAATTGTCGATATCCCAAATTTTTACTGTCCATAGAAAAAATAGAACCAATGAGTTTATAGCAGAATGGATGATGCAGAATCGCATACGCCATTGTCAGAACGACTGTTAATGCATTTATTTGCTAATTGCACACGTCTGAACATTTTTACAGAAATTTGTGATAATGTCGATATCCCAAAAATTTGACTGTTCATAAAAAAATAGAACCAATGAGGTTATAGCTGCATACGCCATTGTCAGAACGACATTTAATGCATTTGTTTGCTAATTGCTCACGTCTGAACATTTTTACTGAAATTCGTGAAAATGTCAATATCTCAAAATTTTGACTGTCCATAGAAAAAATAGAACCATTGAGTTTATAGCAGAACGAATGATGCAGAATCACATACGCCATTGTCAGAACGACATTTAATGCATTTGTTTGCTGATTGCACACGTCTGAACATTTTTACAGTAATTCGTGAAAATGTCGATATCCCAAAATTTTGATTGTCCACAGAAAATATAGAACCATTGAGTTTATAGCAGAACGAATGATGCAGAATCACATACGCCATTGTCAGAACGACTTTTAATGTATTTGTTTGCTAGTTGCATATTTCTGAACATTTTTACAGTAATTCGTGAAAATGACGATATCCCAAAATTTTGATTGTCCACAGAAAATATAGAACCATTGAGTTTATAGCAGAATGGATGATGCAGAATCGCATACGCCATTGTCAGAACGACTGTTAATACATTTATTTGCAAATTACACACGTCTGAACATTTTTACAGAAATTGGTGAAAATGTCGATATCCCAAAATTTTGACTGTCCATGGAAAAATAGAACCATTGAGTTTATAGCAGAACGAATGATGCAGAATCA